ACCACAGCCCACCCTATTCCAGTATGACTTTATTATCTCACCCGCTGACATCTTCCAAGGCTCTGTTTCCAAACAAGCTCTCACTCACGGCTACCTGTGGCTGGGACTTCCACGTATCTTTCATGGGGGATGCAGTTCCTGGCTGGGGCCTTTGACCCCTCACCTGCGGAGGTGAGGGACTGACTGCTACCAGATGATGCAGCAGCGGAGGATCTGAAGGCTCTAAACACACCAGATACCAGGGACTTGTTTCTGTGAGGTTTTTCTTCATCATGAGCCTTCCATCTCTGCAGGGGCTAATCATTCAGGGCATCTGTATTGATTGACTCATAAGGAGCCCTGGTAGCAGTTGGGTAGTGGTTACAGTTGGGCTGCTAACCACGAGGTCAGCAGTTTGAAACTACCAGCCGTTTCTCGGGAGAAAGGTGGGGCTTTCAATTCCCGTGAAGAATTGCAGCCTCGGAAACCTGCAGGGGCAGTTCTACACTGTCCTAGAAGGTCAGTATGAGTTGGCATCGACTGGATGGCAGTGAGTTTGGGTTGGGTTCATGTTCATTGACTCAAGGTGACTGTCTAGGACAGAGTAGAACTCCCTTGTGTAATGCCATGGCTGTAAGTCTTAACCAGAGCAGAAAGCTTCATCTTTCTCCCGTGGAGCAGCCAGTAGATTTAACTGCTCATCTTGTGCTTAGCAGCCCAATGGAATTGATTGGGTGGCATGAGTTTGCTTTTAGAGTTTATATTCATTGAACTTGGAAATATGGGCATTGAGACTTTTCTTTTTAATGTTTGTGTGCCTAGAAGGTCATAACTATCATAAGGCACACCCCTAGTCTCTGATTTGGGGGTCTTCTCTTTAAATATGCATAAATCCTTCTCTCAAATGGAAATTTCCAGAAAGGAGGTGGGGGCAATAGAGAGGAAACGCTCTTAAGCTTGCTGGGTTATCACTCCCCATTTGGCAACCTCTGTCTCTTTCTTGAATGACAAGAATCTCTGACTAGAAATTAGGTATGGCTACTTTCAGGCTTCAGGCAAGAGAAGTCTTCAATTCTTGTGGAAATCCGCTGTTGAAGAGGATGCCTTCAGCTCAAAAGATCTCCGCGGAACTGCCATGCTCAACAGTCCTGAGCCCTCAAGCTCCAGGACAAAGGGAGAAGTCTCAACAGATGGTGACATTGCTTCAAAGGCGGATGAACATCATCGAAACTATTTGGTCTGCCCTGCGTTCCCCAAACAAAACAGAAGTTTGGAAATGAGCTAAAACAGATGACACGGAGAATGTAAATTTAGTACAACTATGCCATAGCTGGGTGTCCTTTGCTGTCTAAAGCTGGAACCAAAAGGGGGCTTCCCCGTACCAGCTATCACTGCGCTGGTGTGGCTGGGACTTCTGAAATCACCCTGCCAGTTGCAGCGCTCGAGGTCATTATATTTTCGGCCCTGCATCTTGCAGAGGTGCTAAAGCAGTGGGTGATACCACCCCCTGGAGGCACTGGAACAATCCAGGGAGCCTGCAAAAGCAGATGCCCACACTTTATCCTGGACACAGGCTATTGTACAAACATTGCTTACTTCCAGGAGACACAATAATTACTTTTTTTTTTTTTCAATTTTAGAGTGAGTGAGAGAGTGAGTGAGTGAGAGAGTGAGTGAGTGAGAGAGTGAGTGAGTGAGAGAGTGAGTCAGTGAATGAGTGAGTGAGAGAGTGAGTGAGTGAGTCAGTGAATGAGAGTGAGTGAGTGAGAGTGAGTCAGTGAATGAGAGAGAGTGAGTGAGTGAGAGAGT